TATCTAAATTCTCAAAACATCTAAAATACATGCATGTAAAGGACTCAAAACATCTTAAGAGAATGACAAATACACTTTAAATCCATTGCTCTGCATTAATTTACAAAGTTAGTCCTGAAGTATGAATGGAGATGGGCTCCTGTACTATGGCGACCCCTGCACCTGAAAGAGGCCCTAGAGGCATTTGTAGGATGGCTCATATAAATGCAGAGGACAAAGTTCCTTATGGGGATAAATAAAGTCCACATTTACATTTATTTCCTCTTGTCAGAAATGTCAAAAATGCTTCCTCAACAGTTCACTTATAATCACTGTTGGATCCTGTTTCTACACAAAGCATGGTTTGGAAACATTTGTACTCAATAGTTTCAACTAAGTCATTCACTGAAAGGATTTCTTGATCATTTGATCTTTTTACAACCTAAGATTCGCTGTAGGTGGTTTTTATTTGTGTGTGAAAAACATGGAGAAATATGAAGTTAATAACGGCTGTAAAATGTTGCCCATAGCTCAAAGCTGTAACTTGTTTGGACGTGGGCCAGGAAAGAAAGTGTGAAGTTGTCTCCGAGATTTCTAATCTTTCTGAGCAGTTACACAAATAATAGGCAACATGTGTTTTTCTATGGTTTTAATAATTTCTTTACACCAAGTGGCTGGCATAGTGTACAGAAACATCTGTGCAGAGTATGGACTGGAAACCCCAAGGTCTAAGTGGCAAACTCCTCCAAAGGTGGTGGAAAATGAGGGTGCAAAGATCCTGTGGGACTTCCAGATACAGACCGACCGAATGGTAATGGAGAACAAACCTGACATCGTGGTGGTAGACAAAGGGCAGAGGACAGCCGTGGTGGTGGACAAAGGGCAGAGGACAGCCGTGGTGGTGGACGTGGCAATTCCAAGCGATGGTAACATCCGGAAAAAAGAACATGAAAAGCTTGAGAAATACCAAGGTCTCAGAGAGGAGCTGGAGAGGGCCTGGAGGGTAAAGGTGACAGTAGTGCCCGTGGTGATCGGTGCACTCGGGGCAGTGACCCCGAAGCTAGAACAGTGGTTACAGCGGATCCCCGGAACAACCTCGGACATCTCGGTCCAGAAATGTGCAGTGCTAGGAACAGCAAAGATACTGCGCAGAACCCTCAAGCTCCCAGGCCTCTGGTAGAGGACCCGAGCTTAGAGAGGGATAACCGCCCGCGGAGGGCCAAAGGTGAGTGGACAATTTTTTATATAAGATAAGATATACTTTATTGATCACCCACAGGAGAAATGTACATGTCACCTCCGGCATGGATAGAAACACTCAAGATTGTGCAAAAAGAAAGAAATGTGCAAACATGTTAAATGCAGGATATTATGGATAAAAGTGACAATTTAAAAAGTGGCTTCAGAAACAGTGTCAATAGTAGTGCAGGTTTTTTCAGTGCTAATGCAAGTGACTTAAAGTGACTTCTTCCACTGAAGGAGCTCCTCAGCTCCTCTACAGTCCTGTGCAGTGGGTGGGAGGTGTTGTCCATGATGGAGGTGACTTTGACTAGCACCCTCCTCTCCCTCACCTCCTCCACAGAGTCCAGGGGGCAGCCCCGAGTGGAGCTGGCCCTCCTGACCAGCCTGTTCAGTCTGCTCCTGTCCTGCTCTGTGCTGCCCGGGGACCAGCACACGGACAGCAGACACCTCCTTTGATGTTATAGTTATTTGGCGAAGGCTTAGACAGAACACTGGAACATCTCCTGTGGTCACCCGCACCTGCTTCTGTACTACACACCTGTGTCTCTGCTACACACCTGTGTCTCTGCTACACACCCGTGTCTATACTACACACCTGTGTCTCTGCTACACACCTGTGTCTATACTACACACCTGTGTCTCTGCTACACACCTGTGTCTATACTACACACCTGTGTCTCTGCTACACACCTGTGTCTATACTACACACCTGTGTCTATACTACACACCTGTGTCTCTGCTACACACCTGTGTCTATACTACACACCTGTGTTTCTGCTACACACCTGTGTCTATACTACACACCTGTGTTTCTGCTACACACCTGTGTCTCTGCTACACACCTGTGTTTCTGCTACACACCTGTGTCTCTGCTACACACCTGTGTCTCTGCTACACACCTGTGTCTCTGCTACACACCCGTGTCTCTGCTTAAAACGACCAGCCTTCACTTGGCTGCATCTAAAACGACCAATGTGGTTTCTTCCAGGCCGATGCAGTAAGACGGAAATAGTTGGTGTCCAATGTTTCAATAATACAATCTCCAGCACATAACTTTGTTCAAATGCTTGAAGCTCTAATGGGTTTAATTTTACAAAAAAGGAAATATTTGCAATAGACCCTGTAACCCCTTGATTTAAAGTAAGTAATGATTATTTATGTAGCGCATTTTACAGACCAATGTCACCCGAACGCTTCAAATTTTTTCAGAGTTCAGATATTGTTCCAATCATTCCACACACGGTGATGACGGAAGTGAGACGCTGAACACACTGGACCATCAGCCCCAATCAACACCATCCATTCACTCACTCATTACATTCATACCTATTGTGCATGTTTTTAGTGGTAGGGGAAACTGGAGCACCTGGAGGAACCCTACGCAGACACTTTGCATCTCCTTACTCCGCTTTCAACTCGTGCAACAAACCTCCTCTTCCCCACCCCCAGTAGGACAATCGCTCCTCCAGGCCGCGGAGGATTTTATTTATTTTTTTATTTCAATTCCATAATATTAATCTTTTACCATAAAATGGTGTGATAAAATGACATAAAAAAATATTTATACCACAAAATACAAGAGCCTCCTCATGAAGTAACCGATGTACTTCATGCAAACTCAATAAACACAATTCTAGTACCTCTTTTACTGAGCTTTACGTAGTTTAAGACTATTATGACATCAAATACATCAGAATCAGAATCAGAATCATTTTTATTGCCACGTAAGTAACAGGAGGTCACAGACTTGGAAATTGCTTTGGCTCAGTGCAACAGTCAGAAAGAGATAATAAAAATAAGAATAAAAAACACTTCTAAAGAATAAATTTAAATTTAAAATATAGTTACAGTTACTATTTACAATATACAAGTGCACATGGTGCACACAATGTGAGGTGACAGCAGTACAGTGACGTATGATGGGCAGTAAAGTGACTTTATAAAGGGCGGGGGGGGACATAGAAGATGATGAAACAATATAAATATATTATGAGATCCTGACTATTATTTTGTACTTTTTTATCTTTTCCTTATGTTGATGAACAAATGGACCTGTTCTTGGACTTTATTTTTTTTCAATAAAATGTCTTCTGTGCAGTTTTTTAACTATTTTTATCTTCTGGTCGGTATTCGTTCTTCATAATAATAAATGGTTGCCTTGAATGCCTTGATGATGTTCACTTATCATGAAAATTGTGCTTATTTTCTTTGTGTTTTCTCTTAAGTTTTGGAAATCTGATTTGTTTACATTTCAGATTCACAGACAAATAAATAATATATATAAAGATAGATATATATAATAATGAATTACAACAACTATTCCTATTACACAATCATCCGTAATGAAACATGAAACATTTTGTGCCTTGTGCATTTTCCCACATTTCTTGCTGATATTAGCAGCGGTGACAGAGCAAACCAGTTTGATGGCCTGCTCCTCCACATGACAGAGGCACTGCTCACAGAGACACTCACACATCAATCAGACGTGACTCACTTTATCGTGGGACACTCACAAAGAAGAACGGCCTAAAAATAACTGCCACCTTTTCCCAATCGGACCTGGGTGACCTTTCTGCTTCACCTCATGATGCAGTTTGAGGCAAACCGTCCATTCATCTCACAGTCCTAGTAAATGAACAAAGCCCAAAACATTTGTTTATCTTTTCAAATAGAGTTTTATAACACTGCAAAAATGTTTCAATACAAAAGGATTTTTATAAAGTTAGTTAGTTAGCCATGTTTATTTCGAGCAAATAAGTGCATTCACTATTAACTGTATTTGGAGATGTTTCTACCAATCAAAAATGTAATGTGTATGAATATGTAATGAAAGTTTTTTATTTTTAGGTTGGCCTTAACATGAAAATAAAAATTAGCTTAATTTAGCTAACTCGGGCACATTTACATTTTATAATTTTGACAGGGGCGACAGTGGCTCAGTTGGTAGAGCATTGGCTGTTGGGCCTGAAGGTCGTGGGTTTGAGCCCACCTCGAGATCTACTTCACGACTCCCACTGATGACTGCTGTCGTTGTGTCCTTGGGCACGACACTTAAACCCACTTTGCCTAAAGCTCCCACTGAAAGATCTCAGCTCCTGTGGACTCACCACCTGCAGGAGGATCAGTGAGGGGCTGGTGCTAAGTGTACTGGGTGCAGCTCTGACTGCCACCCCCCGACCCAGAAATGGGTCTGTGGACCGTATATTAGGAGTCCTGACATGACCCACAGTGTCTCAATGAGGGAGAAGCCAATTAAACATAAGCTTGCGGGAGCAAATTCCCTTAAATGGGCGTTTCTTCCGTGGCGTTAGCTTGGCGCCTAAACAGGGGCCGACATGTTGCTGAGACGTATTACTAAATGCCACTAAAATTGATCTGGCTTTTCAAGAAAACTACATAAAAGGTAAAGAGCAAACCCTAAGCCTTTCAAATATTATTTTCTAATGGTACTTATCAATAATTCAAGGATGTATTTGCAGCAAAACTACATTTGAAAAACTGTGCAAGACCAGCCCAGTGTGCACCAGACAGAGAAGACAGCGGCTGGTCCTATCTGCGATCGCTGTCCGTCTGCTGCTGCTGCTACAATTCGTGTAGCCTTCGAAAAGTCATTCACGGCATGTAAAGTCCAACCGCTGTTTTGTTGCACAACTTTCAGTGTAATTGCACAGTGTTGCTGCCTGGTCTCGTTGCCTCCATCAGGCCCTGGAGTTTAGCCTATGATGTTGTTTACTGAGGCCGGCGCTGCTGTGGCATACTTTATGTGAATGCTGCTTATGGCTCCACTCAGGCTTTATGTGAGGGTGAGTCATAGCAAGAGCCAGGCCAACAAGAGGGAAAAAATACAGCTTTCTGTCAGATATGGTCACACACCTGGACCGTGGACCTGGAGCGTTAAAACATCAGGTCTCACAAAAGGGATGTATACCTGCATTATGTTCTAAAAGATATTCTAACACATTCTGCACAGCTATTTGCCGAAGAGGTATTTTTTGTCTAATTTAGGTTGATGAGATGTCTCCATGAAATTTTAGGGTGATTTTGCATTAGTTTTAATCTTGATTTTAACATAAACTCTGATTGCACTCCTAATAGACTCCAAGTACACACCTGCTACCCTTTTGTTTACACTTTTACACATTCATTGGACCTAACACTAACCCTTATGTTTGTTATAATTGTATTTCCTGTGTTCGTCCTGTTTGATTCTCTTGTTGATGAAATCGACAACTTTGTACAGTCCTTCGAGACGTCTGCTGTTGTCATTTAGGGCATTAAAGAAAATGAATTGAAGAGAATTACACCCCTATCACACGTTTACACACTTATTACACTATTTCACACCTCTTGCACTGTTACAGTATGTTTCACTACTAATACACTTCCTAAAACATTATACTATTTACAGTATTGCACAACTCGGTAACATTATCCCACCCATTTTTCCTTACCCCTCGTTTTGGCTCATTAAAAATGTTAAATAATTCAAAGCCTTTGTCAGTGAGATTGGGACTTAACTCTTGACAGTAATATGGAGACTGTATTTTCCTCTTTGATAGAATTTGATTAGGATAAATAATTGAATAACTTCTTTACACTAGTTTGTCTGAAATTGTCATTCACTCAATATCAAGCAAGAGTTTAGGTGATTCCTTAGGCTTCCGAAGAAGTTTTAAAGGACAAGACTGATTTGGATTCCAGTGTGTTTCAAGCACAGAGCCCTCTCCCTCTACAACAGACCCTGCAGCTGCACGTATATGACAATAACCCATCATTCAGTATACGGTCCATGGTGTAACTGTAGGTAACGAGAAGGAGACATTGAATCAGTCTGGTTAATGATTTTCTAACGCGTGCTTTTGATGAGACGCCCGTGATAAGCCGCCCATTTCTTCATTCCGCTTCACTATCAGCACAAAATCTCCCATTCATTGCACGAAACGGCAGATCGGTTACAACATCGCCACAAACAAGACACACAAATAAGCGAGCGGCGGAGAGGTAATAGTTTCATCAGGGCTCAGCAGCGGAGTGCAGTCAGAGCTGTTTGAGGATTGCTCAAGACTTGTGTCACCGGGAGGAGGAAGAGGAGGAGGAGGAGGGAGTAGAAGGAGGAGGAAGAGGAGGAGGAGTGGACTGCGCTGCTTGGGGCGGAGAGAAAGCCCAAACATCAGTCACTCACTCTCTCGCTCCGGGAGTGTAGAGGGCTCTGTGCGTCTCCGCGTCTGTGCGTCTCTGCTCTGTCATCTCTCCTCAAGTCACTTCAGAGCGGCAGGTACCTCACGGATTAAAAGATAAAAGAATGGAGTCTCCGCTTTTGAAGTGTTTCTAAGTCTTTACGCACACGTGTTGTCATGGCACAGCGCTCCATCAGGATGAACTTGCAGTGGAGCCCGGTGACGTGCCTGCGCTATGGAAGACCCGCGCACAAACGCCTGGACGCGGATGACCAGCCTCCAGCCAAGTCCCCCAGACTGAGCACCGAAGCCGGGGACGCGCACTCTCTCATTTACGGATCTTCTCCCACTTCACCCACAAGCCCGTGCCCCAGGACCCCCAGCCCACACCAGGGGCCAGCCAGGATAGGACCCTTCTTGCTGCTACCTCTATCGGAGCGGGAGAGCAGTCACAACGCCATAAACACGGACACAGGCGAAGAGCTGCTGTGTAAGGTATGCGCAATCCATCGTCATTGTGCAATTTCTCTGAATGAGTGGTGTTTCGAGACAGCGCTATTGCTCAACCAGTCTGTATCATCACTGCAAGGCATTTACTTCACCAAGTGTGTCTCGCTTTACGAAGTAGGGTTACTTCACTTACCGGGTTATTTTTATCCATAACCACATTGCAAAGCTGTTACAAATCAAACGGGCTTATGGGACAATCAACTGTATTTGTATACTTTAGTGCAATACGTCATGGTCTCTTAAAGGGGCAGTGTACCTTTAAATGCAAGTGTCCAGGCTCATTGTGTAAGGTCCTCGGGGTCTCCTTATATGACGTACATGGTTCATTATTCAGTTAATATGGCTAAATCAATTCGGCTTCTGTTGACAGCCTATTTTATCATTGAAGCTGAATTGATCTTGATATACCCGTGTATAATAAAGCACAGCATAATAAGGGCTGCACATGTTTGTAAAAGCCATTTGTTGCTGTGGTCTTATCCTATGACATCAATAAAAGTCTGGACTCTCCGTCAGGTGTACGACATGGTGATGTACCAGGACAAGATCCGGGCTTACGGGATCCTGCCGGCACACAGGAACGTGGCTGGTATCAGGGACATCATCCTGGGGGAGAGGAAAGCGTATGTGTTCTTGGACAAAGACTTTGGGGACATGCACACTCTGGTGAAGAGCTCGCGCAGGCTGGACGAGGAACAGGCCTGCATGCTTTTCCGGCAGGTGGCCTTGGCTGTGGCTCACTGTCACCAGAACGGGCTCGTGTTGGGAGACCTCAAGCTCCGCAAGTTTGTCTTTGAAGATGAGAAAAGGTGAGGACGATAAACATCCAGAAACTGCATATTCAAATAACTTCCAAAACACAGCACTATAATATTTTGTGTCATTTTCATGTCAAAATGGCCTCACTAATGAGTTTTGACAAAAGTTGATGTAATTCCTCATTCATCCAGAAGGGTTCCATGTTGGGCTGCAAGATGAATCACAAGTGAATTGAAATCGCAATATTAGTAGTTGCAATTTCCAAATCACAAAGGCTGCAATGAAGTCCTTTATGAACAGAAAACTATGGTAAATATAATGTAATAGCTAAAAGTTGTATATATACTGACTTTCAAATTGTACTGTTTTTATATTATTTTAAAACTTATTTATTATGCACCTGTGACTGTGTGAATGAGAGCAGCCGGCACCACTGTAATTTCCTTCGGGAGCAATAAAGTTTATCATATCCTGTCTTAAAAGAAGATTTGGATATGATAAGCACAGTAGCATTTTTGCAACAAGTTAAAAGATTGATTTGAATTGTCAAGTTAAGTTCAAAACAAAAAATGTAAGTTTATTGTGAATCAAATCACATTGTGTGGCAAAACTAGCTAAAATCATCCAGCCCTTGCTCCATCTACAAAACATAAGAAAGATAAATGTATGAATGGGAGTTGATGCAGCCGATAAGTCTTTCAAACCTGTGTCTTTGGTGGAAAGTGTAAGTATTAGTGAATGCACCAGTGGATCCTTGTGGGTCATGCGGTGCAGGTTTGGATGTAGGCACTGCTCAAGTAGGAGGTTCTCACGGAGGCGCTCTCTGTCTGTATTTCTCACTATATATGTGTCTTGGTTTTGTGCGAGCGCGCGGTGGGTGTATTGTTGGCAGAGCTGCGAGACGAGACAATCAGGCCCTTCTGTTGTCTATAACTATACCGAATGTCTGCATTAGTCATTATTACTTATCCGTGTGTGTGTGTGTGTGTGTGTGTGACCTCATAAATATGAATTACAACAGTATATAAGAGGCGTCTATTCATGTGCACTTTAAAGTTCCTCCCACAGAGACATAATAAGGGCCGTGTGCCGTGGAGGACTCACAAAAAGGCCGCTTACTAAACTATTTGTCGCCTCTTTGCCCTTGCGTCACATACTCTTCCTGTAAGCCCCCCCCCATCCCCATCCCCCCTCCCTCGCTTTTCCTATTGCATATTTTCCCTTCAGCTGAAACATTCCCCAGTTATGACCTCTGGCTGAGCAGGGTCACTCTTTGGATGAATGGATGCAGACAGCCAGTGAGAGAAGTTTAAGTTGCTCGTGTCTTTGGTGATAACTATCCCACATCACTGCAATGAGTCACTGTGTGTGTGTAACGCAACCCCGTGTGAGTGTGTGTGTGTGTGTGTGTCCATATATGACTGTTTCTACGTCGGCATTGCGCACTCTAAGCTGTGATGCCGGTTTTCCATGCAATCTGGAGTGTTAATCAACATGTCAGTAAATAAATGGCCGCAGTTTAAAGACTGAAACAATATTTACTCCTTGGTCACATTAATGTTATAGCATATCAATATCATATAGCATATCAGTATCACAATCCTATTTTGCAACATGAAGAATTGATTAGATGACTTTTCTCACATGTATGTCAAATATTTCCTGGACGGATTGCATGTCCACCTCAGCTGATTTCTTTTTGCTTAATACCTCTTGTCGTTTGTTTGTTTCTTTTGCATTGATGTAAACTGTCTTATGATGTCCAGCTGTGTGGCCCTGACGTAGCCGTTGGTCTTGATGCTAGCACCCGTACAGTAGATCGTAGGGTTGGTTAAACACTTGCCTTCAGTAAAATGTTGTTGTATCGTTCATATTCCACAGTTGTTTTGCTCCAATCAGATCTGTTTTTATGCCGGTATGCCATTATAATGTTACGCAATGTCTCGACCTACGATCCAGATAGTTTCATAGGTCTCATTTGTGACAGAGACGAGTCCCCATTGGCAGCACTCAGAGCCAGTTTAGAAGGTGACTAGCTGTGTGAGGCATGCTGCTTCACTGCTGCTGGGCCAGCCTTCCCGTGCGTCACCAATGTGGCAACAACCATTTGAGGATAATTATGGGAAGGCTGGCGCCGTGAGTGTGGAGCCCAGGTGCAGATAGCCTGGGCTGGAGAGGACTGAGAGAAGATATGTACTCAACACCAGCATGAGTCACTCTCTCCACCCTGCAACTTCTTTCCTCTGCTTCCATTTTGGTCACTATCACACTTATCAGCGTCACTATCCTTGTGTTCAAATATTGTGCCTCTTCTGTCCAAGTCATGCAGCTGTATAAACACTGGAGGTGACTGTACATTTGATTAATGCTGGTTTTTGTTTGTTTTGAATAAGATCAGTTATATCAAAGCGATCAATTGCTTCATTCATTTCGGGGAAAGCCCAGGAAAAAAATCTTCTGTTATTCCAGCAAAATTTCCCATAGTCCACAAGCAGAGTAGATGTGGTGTCCCCTGTATTCTCATAAACCTAAATGTGCTCCTGGTGATGAACATGGCTAAATATAGTTGTGTCGAGCAGAGAGATGAGGGGGGGCTGTGGGGTCTTCTGTTTGTACTGGGTGTGTGTTTGTGTTGGAAATTTGCTTACACAGCTTTGCGTCTCAAAGTCTCCACAGCTTAAACATCATGGGAGTTTGGTGAGAGTGATGTAGTTGAATGGGTTAAAAAGAGGAAGTTTGTTTTTCCATGATGACGATAAAGTTGCTCAGACACGTTTCACATTATGTCATTGGCACATTTCTGGTGCAGTACTTTTACAATACTTTGTAACATGTTTGACCTCTTTGAGTATTTTTTGATTTGATCTAGAATAACATATTTATGGAACGTTTTTTGTGTTTACAGAACTCAAGTAAGACTGGAAAGTCTAGAAGACTGCCGTGTTTTGGAAAACCCAAAGAATGATTCCATGTCAGACACCCACGGCTGCCCGGCTTACGTCAGTCCTGAGATCCTGAGCGGCTCCGCTCCGTACTCGGGGAAAATGGCTGACATGTGGAGCCTGGGGGTGATGCTGTACACTATGCTGGTGGGTCGTTACCCCTTCCATGACCCGGACCCTGCCACGCTGTTCTCTAAGATCCGCAGGGGCCAGTGCTGTGTGCCTGAAGGCCTGTCTCCTAAAGCCAAGTGTCTGCTGCAGAGTCTGCTGAGGAGAGAGCCCTCAGAGAGACTGACCGCAGCCGAGCTGCTCGCTCACCCCTGGTTTCACCGACCACCATCACTACAGGAAGGGGTGCCCGCAGAACAGGAAGTGAGCTCAGCAGAGCAGACTGTGCCCTCATTTGATGTGGAGAAAGACAATGACCTGTTCTGTTGATGGACTCTCAGACTGAGGGGCCAAGAGACTCGTACACATTCACAGGGATCTACTGTTGTTTTTTTACATTGGCACTTTTCAGATCCCCATCTATGTACTGTTGTCTGTAAATATATCCTCAACCTTTTTTTTAAATATCCAATGTACTGTATTTGTCTTTGTATATGTTATTTTTAAGGGCATTTCCACAATGTTACATTGTGGTAACTGTAAATATATATGGTGCTAAAGTGTCTCAAAGACTTCAACTCTGAACCAAGGTCCCAGGAGCAGCCTGATGAGAGGATGGATGCTCTGAGACTGCAGACTCCAGTCTGACTCAGTGTCTCTGTGACAGAATAACTATTCACACAGACGCATGTGTTACTCTGAGGGTGACAGTTTGACCAGAGCAGGGCATTACAACCTCACACTCACACAGAAGCTCTGAGGAGAGACTGTCACACGCAGCGATCACAACAGCAGGACAGGCTGCGGATCACAGACAACTGTGGACTGAGGGAAACTGTTCAAATCTCATCTTTCAAAGGTGTATTCATGTTTCACATGATTTTATTCAAAAATAACTGATGATTATAGCTGTATACTAATAAAACCACATTCACTGGAAAATGTAGTAATAGAATCCTGAAGGGCACCATTGTGTTGGTGGTTCATACAAAAGCAGTTGTGTTGTTTCTGTTGTGTGCACAATCTGGGCCTGGATCCTTGTGTTGTATAAACTCTGGATCAGGTTTGTTCATGTTTCATCTGACTCAACACTTGATGTACAGTAGTCTAACCTCAGCCTGCGGGAATCTGTTCTGACCGCTTCACCTTCAAGTGGAACTCTACTTATACTCTCTAATGCTGTCCAGTCTTTGAGCGCAGTGAGAAGGATGTGATCTCGGGGAAGTTGTGTTTCAGTGACGTTGAGCTTTAAGAATTTGTTCTTTTGGTACTGTCAAGTCTGGCACATCTGAGAAACGCGACATCATTCATTACTCTCATCGTGACTTCTGTCGGACATGTCTATGTCTGGTTTCATTTGAATTCAGTGCCAGACAAATGATGAAACTATATTTGTAATTGAAGTATTTTCAGTAGATGTTCAGTGGAGTTAGATCTCTGTGAGTAAACTGACACGGGTGCACAGACTCTGCATTGCACTGTGACTAAGTATTAGTGACATGACCTCGCCGCTTATGGTCCTGATGGTTACACAAGAGACCGTATGTATAATCATTGTATAGACTGTAAATATGTACATTTGTTTATGTGTGACGCTGTTGAAATAAAAATAAAACAATTTTGAAATTCACTGCATTCTTTCCTTGTGCTTTTGAGGGATTTTTGAACAAAAACTTTATCCACATGGCCTTCAGGTGTTTTCAATTTGCCATCAACATTGACCCTTCTGATATTGGTTCAAATCTCTAAAGATCCACACTTAACCGTAACCTTTCCACAGTGTGCCATTTTACCCCTTTTATCACCCAAATGTCAATAGTGCTTCAGGGTCTCTTCCTGGAAAACCATGAAGCAGATTCCTTGTTTTTTCTATCTTTTTAGGTCAAATAATCATAAGCTGGACCCAGTTTGGTGAAAGAGAGCCCCGGTTTTTATCGCATGCCACGTTTGCTGGTGAATCATAGTTGAACCTATAAGAGCTTGCCGTGTCTCCTCCCTCCCCATGTTATGACTACCACAGGCATGACTGGACAGGGCTTGCGTAATCCCAGTGTAAGTGAAGTAGGCTACATACCTGCTCCAGAGGACGCACCATTCAAAAGGCTCCAGAGACAAATGCTTAAAGATGCACTCTGTACTTTTAAGTGGGAGGGCTGGAGACATTCTGTTCTTCACTTGACATCTGCATTGCTTTGACAGGAAAAGTGCACAACGGAGACAAGCAGATTACTCCAAATACAATTATGGCCGACAGTAGCTCTGGTTGCCTCGCACACTGGGCACACTGGGCACACTGGGCACACTGGTTGTCAGTGAAAGAATAATGACATGTGAAGTGTCTTTGAGAGTCCAAAATAGCGCTATATAAAACCGATGCATTATTATTACAACATATTTTTGGCAATAGTGTCCTTTGTAAATGATAACATAAAACAATAGATACGTTTGTAAAATACTTTTGAAGATTTCTGAAGGCAATATCATGTTCTTGAATTTGGTGTGATGGATTCACCATCAACAGCAGTCTACAATAACATTATTATTGTTTTATTTAGACTCATATACAGGGTCTGTAGCTAATAAGATACAGTAAAGAGCGGTGTAAAGAACACAGATAATATTCACATATTTTTTCACATAAACATAATTTTTTCACATAAGTTTTGGAAGTGAACCTTATTGAGCTAATATCAGACTAGTGCAGACTAGAGACTTGGGTAGGTACCCCCATGACTGCATATGGGGGTTCCCAATGGTATTATTCAAACATTCATGAACTATTTGTTTGTTCCAAATCTCGTGTATCCTCTTGTATTTATGTAGCCAAACACATGCATTCACAAACATCTAAAGATATAAAACTACAGGAATACTCACATCTACTTATCCATGTACAGCATTTACATTCTCATATATATACACAATGTTTTATCGTTCTGAGCAACAAAAAAACAAATCTATAAAAAAGTATGTGCCATGTATGGACTGTTGAAATATACTGCATGAATTTTGAACTGTTGTATTTCCTTCCATGGGGTTAGAACAGCCTGTTTAAAACACAATAGTAGCATAATAATAATCAATCTCCTGCTGAGACACTGATTGGACAACAATCGAGTCTTTCTAAGCATGTACTGTTGTTGTTTTGGTTTCAAACTTCTTTGTAGTAATAATATAGAAACTAACTATTGTAACACAAGTTGCATTGAGCGAGTATCACCCTGTGTTAGAAAGGTCGTGGGTGTATGAAGAATCACACAGAGAGGGACAGCTCCTCAGGAACGTAGCTTTATTCAGTCAACAGCTCCCCATCAAGGGACCCTCCTCAAACCCGAAGTTACATTTTTCTAGCGCCCGTGACCTCATCACCGTCATATCAATGCGCACTCAAAATAGGTCCTAGCCAGGTAATAACACAGGCATAACACAAAACAAAACAATATAAATCCCCTTACACTATATACACTCATCAGCACGTACTCATTTTACATGTGTGGTGCATTCAGGTGATGGACTTCCTCTTGTATTCCTTAGATTTAACAGATACTTCCCCGATACTGTGATGTCATTTTACAAGCAATCAATCCATAAAATATTCAACTTCAAATGAAAGAGATAGGACACAAAAAGACACAAAAACACCTGCTACCTCAACACAGAAAGTCAAAGTAACTATTGCTTAATCTCAAAATAACAGACACCGCAGTTTGCTGAAAAAGGGGAACTAGTTTATTTTCTATTGATAGCCTATCGAGAAGGGAGAAGAAGCGTATTCAATTGAGCTTTATGATGTAATGGACTAAAATATATTCCCAAATGTTCCGTCCCCAACAAGGACATCACAGGGAATGGGCAGTGTCTGGAAAATTTGTGCAACTCTATAAAATAAAACTGTGATCACTTTGTTTGAAATTGAAACCACGATGAATGTCAGCAAAGCACCTGTTGTTACTTCCCTGAACTTGACATCTAAACAATGGAAACTCTCTCAGCTTTGAAACCGCAGTGAGCAGATTTATTTAGGAGAACAGATGCCCCCAGAGGTCTCGGTGTTTCGGGGAAGTGCAAACACTTAAATACTTAGTAAAGTGGCTGTATTTATAAACCCACATGTCCTACAAAATAATGCATCCGTGTATACAGAGCACACCGAGCTTTCATCCAGGACCCGGCGCTAGATCTCTGCTGCCACCCCGTGGACACATGAGGTACTGCTGACACGAGCTTTGAACGAGGATGAAAATAAGTTCTAAAAAGCTTCTCAAACGTTTTCAAATATTTTTCACATTTTTTGTCTTTTTTTTTACAACACAAACTTGGTACAAACACATTTTAAATCCTTAAAATGTGTCAAAGTAAGTTTCATACGCAATACAAGTATATAGATGCAAAGACATTTCCCCACTGTGGGACAAATAAAGGATCTCTTAATTAAAATAAATACAAGTGGAGATTTAATAGTACTTTACTGGATAGTAAAAGACGCTCAACATGGCAACAACCGCAGCCACAGCTGCCCTGGGGCAGACTGATGGAAGCGAGGCAACCTGTGCCCTTCCGACCATCACCGATCATTCACTCTGATATGAAGACAGCCTGTTGGGGTCTGACATGATGTTACTTTTACGTGACTCTTTCTGTTGGGACAATATATGAAAAAGCAATTTTCGGAACTCCAGCTTTAAATGTGGTAAAACTGTTGTGGTACATAATATGACTTCATGGACTCATGGTCTGGTTTGTGGCTCGGGGTAGAAAAGAGGTATTTTGATCTGGATCTGTTAAGAAAAACGTTCTTCTTTAATTAATAAAGATCCTGACATCCTTTTCTAATGAAAAGGATGTCAGCTGTGGTGTACCGCAGGGCAGTTGTTTATGCCCACTCCTCTTTTCCATATATACAAACGACCTTCCTTTAGTTTTACAGAAAGCAAAAATAGCCATGTATGCTGATGACTCAACTATTCATCCCAAACTACAGTTGGAGAGCTGCAGACCGTCCTAACTGAAGAATTAAAATCTGTATATGACTGGGTCAGAAACAATAAATTACTCTTAAACGTTGGTAAAACAAAAAGTATTGTGTTTGGAACCAGACATATGTTGTCACATGATCCTAAGTTAAAAATCACTGTGAAAGACCTAAATGTTGAGCAGGTGCATGAGACCAAGCTTCTCGGAGTACAGCTCGATAACAGACTGTCCTGGTCCAACCACATCAGTGCTGTAGTTAAGAGAATGGGCAGGAGTTTAGCCATGGTCAGACGATGTTCTAGTTTGTTAATTCCAAATATGATGTAATAAAAACACTTGTACTCTCACAGTTAGAT